CCTTCCCTGTGTTACGTACAGAATGAAAAATAAAAAAAAAGGAACTCGGGCTTAACAGAGGGAAGACAGAGCCAGGATGCCTGCGGCAGACTGCTAACTGGCCATCAGGGAAGAGGGCGGAAGAGTGGGGAGGGAGACCCCCTGAAGAGATACAGGCACAGCCTTTCTGACAACCAGGGACCCTTTGGCCTCATTGGGATCCAGGCGGTAATTGACAGGAGCAATTAAACCGGCCTTTTCAATGCCATTTCTCTCCCCAGCGTGCAATCAGGACGTGCCAATGAAAGAATGAATAAGCAAAGAAAGAAAGAAAAAAAAAGAAAGAATGAATAAAGAAAGAACAAATAAATAAGGAAAGAAAAAAGAAAAAAAGACAGAAAAAGCTGGCTCCCAAAAATTCCCATCTGGTAGGAGGGGACCCCGCCCTTTTCAAAGGCTCTTCCCCATCCCCAAAAGCCAGAGAACAGAAGGATCTGGGGTTGTTGTTGTTGTTGTTGTTGTTGTTTTTTGTTTGGCCAGCAGGCTGGATTAAGGAATGGAAACGCCCAGCTTGGCACGGCTGGGTAAAATCACTCCGATTTGGCGGTGGTGCCAAATCCGCCCGTGTGAAACAGTCGGAATTCACCCAAAATGTTATGCCCAAACAAGGTCCCACTGTGATCTTGATGTGCCGGTAGTTCTTACGTATAATTATTAGTTTAGTGATTGTTCAAAGTTACAACGGCACTGAAACAATTGATTTGTGTGACCGTTTTTTGCAATTACGACCGGTGCAGCATTCCCTGTGGTCAGCCCCGTGCAGGCCTTCCTTCCTTCCTGCCTGCCTTCCTTCTATCTCTCTTCTCCTTCGTTCTTTCCTTCCTTCCTTATTAGTAAAATGAGGACCCAGATTGTTGGGGTCAATAAGGTGTAAATTGTAAATCCATGCAAATCACCCAGAGGATGCTCTAAACTGCACTGTGGGGCAATATACCAGTAGTCCTGAACTTACAACAGTCCGTTTAGTAACTGTTCAAAGTTACGACAACACTGGAAAAAAGTGACTTATGACCCCTTTTCATACTTATGACCGTTGCAGCATCCCCATGGGACACCCCCCCCCCATGGTTTACATTTGAACACTTGGCAACTGACTCACACTTACGATGGTTGCATTGTCCCAGGGTCACGTGATCAAAATCTAGCCACTTGGCAACCGGCTCACATTTACAACGGTCGCAGCATCCGGGGTGGGTGGGGTGGGGGTTCAGGCAAATCCCCTTTTGCGACCTTCTTACAAGCAGGGTCAACAGGGAATCCAGATTCCCTTAACAGCCATGTTGTTAATCGAATCACTGCAGCAATTCCCTTAAGAAACACGGCAAGAAAAATCGTAAAATGGGACAAAACTCGCTTAACACATTTCTCCCTTAGCAACATAAATCCTGGGCTCCATTTGGGGCAAGTGGAGGACCAGCTGTGCTATTATTGCTGTTGCTTCTGCCCGGCCAGGGTTGCCCAAGAGTAGCTCAGAGAAGGGCTTTTCTGGGCTGAGAGGGTGGCCGGTGAGGAATGCTGAAAGTTGACGCTCAGCTCCACCCAGGATCAAACCTCCTTCTTGCCAGCCCAGAAACAAGGTGTGTCAGGGCGTGGGAGAAGAAAGGGAAGGGAAAAAAAGAATCACAGGTTTGTCGCAAGGCCTGAGGATTCCCAACCCCCTTTTTAAAAACTTCTACTCAAAAGAGATTTTCCCAAGCGGAACACCCCATTTTTTGTTTATAAAAATAAGCAAAAAATAATCCTCAATTTAAAAGCCCAACAAAGCCCAAAATTCCTGTGGCTAAATTGAGACACTGGTTAAAGGAGGTTCACCCCCGTTTACGACCCTTTACGGCTGCAAGGTCACAAAAGCGGGGTGAAGTCTGATCACGTGACCCTGGGGAATGCAGCTACAGTCGTAAGAGTGAAAAACAGTCGTAAGTCAGTTTTTTGGATGGCCGTTGCAGCTTCAGATGGTCACTAAATGAACAAGCCCCATCAACATGCCAAGATGCTCCTTTCTCTCACCAGTTTTACAGTTATAGCCTAAATGCAAGAATGCAGAACTAAGAAGCTCCTGGGATGAGAAGCAAAACATTTTCTAGAAAGAAAAAAACAAACAAGAATGTCCAGTTGTTTTGGGGGCAAAAAACACCTTTGAGACAACCACGACCTGAATAATTGAGAATCTTTATAGACATTTAGCCTAAATGCACCCTTCAAACATTCAAATTGGAAATAAATACAGATGTATAGAGATATGTAAGAATATATATTGTAAGCAATATTACTATTGGAATGTACATGACTGTAGATTAAAATTATAGAGTGATAAATGCAGAATGTTATGGTACAAATATGAGAATAATGGATATAACTATGACATACAATATCATGCATTTTAAAAAGAGAGAGACTATACTGAATAACTAGGAGAATAATGGTTATGATTAGGGTGTATAAGAATACTGTGTATAGTTAAAAAGGATCTGATACAACCAGTACATGGTTGCTGCAAAACTGGAAATGGGTCATAGAATAAAGGAAAGTGCATAATAAAAACATTTTTTTTTAAAAAAACAAACCATTCAAAAGCCTTCACTCATGCCAAGTGCCTTCGGATCCCTGCAGGCAGAGCCGCTGCCATGAACAGGCAGGAAACCAACCGATGCAGCTTCCTCCTCTCTTCCACAAAAGCCCCAAACTTCTCCCTTTCACCCTCAACTCAAAGCACACCCACCAGGCACAGGAAGGCCTAGCTTGTCTCCACCCCCAGGAAAAGGGGGAAGAGGCACATGGGAATCAGCACCGGTGGGCCCTGGACTCACAACAGTTCATTTAGGGACTGCTCAAAGTTACGACGGCCCTGAAAAAAAGGGACGCAGGACAGTGCTTCACAGTTACGACTGTGGCAGTCTCCCCTGTGGCCACGGGATCCGAATTTGGACGCTTGGCAACCGCCTCATATTTATGATGGTTGCAATGTCCAGGGGCCACATGAATCCTCCTTTTTACGACCCTCTGGAAGCCAGATTCACTGAACAACCATGTGACTAATTTAAAAAACTGCAGTGATTCACTGAATGCACCCGGCCAGGTTGTAAAAGGGGGCAAAGATCACTTAACAGCTGTCTCACTTAGCGATGGAAATTCAGGGCTCAACGGTGGCCGTAAGTCAAAATCTACCTGCAGCAGCCCTCTAGTTTTGCTTCTCTGAACCGCTGGCTCCCTTCCGCGGCCTCCTTCTCAAACATCAAAGGGCATCCACCGGCACATTCCCTGAGCCTCCCCCCCACCCAAGCTCAACAAAATCTTTTTTTAAAAAAAAAGAAGTGAAATTTGGAGCCAAATGATTAAGGCCAACGGATCTGGGTTCCTTTCTCTTCCCCCACCTCGCCACTCCCCAGCTTCCTGCCACTCTCAGCCCAACCCATCTAAAAAAAAAGAAAAAAGGTTGGGATAATAAAAAAAAGAGAAGCCAGAAAAATCACTTGAGCAGCTTTCAAGATCACTTATTCCAATATTTTTTTTCCCTGTGGGGTCCTGGGTGCTCTAGGAGCTGGGTGGTTTTCTTGCAGACATTTCATTACCCAACTAGGTAACATCATCAGTGCTAGAAGGGAGTGGGGTGTGTGGAGAGGAAGGGGATGGGGAGGAAGGGGACTTTGTGGTCCTTGTTCCTTTCTCTGAGCTGGGTGATTTTCTTGCAGGAAAAGTGGTACAATGGGATCAAAATTCACTTAAAACCAATTTCTCACTCAGCCAGATACATTCTGAGGTTCCACAGGTTTATGTCCAGGGCTACCGCTGATCTGTAGATGTTCACACCTATGTGTGCATTGGTGGCAGCGGCTGCTACAAATCCCCTGGCATATATTTTTTTGGGGTGGACTTTTCATTTTTTTGTCCCTGACTTTCCCCCTTCATTAAACAGCCGCTTCTGTTTACAGAAGCGAGGCAACAGTTGCGATTGTTGACCAGGGAGGAAGAAAACCACCACCGCCAACAACCTCGTGCAGGGGAAAAACCCTCCACCTCTTTGCACCTACGTGCGAATAAAATGGCATTTTCTCACAACTTCCCGGATTTCCAGAGGCCATTTTCAAACTGGAAGCTCCTGGAAACACGAGACCTCCCTTCCCCGAAGCGAAACCAAAAAGAAGAGGAGCGAATTCGAGTCAAAGAGAGGGAGGGAGGGAGGCAGACGGAGACAGAGGGAGGGAGGGAGGAAAAGAGGGAGAGAGAAAGGGAGACAGAGAGAGGGAGGGAGAGAGAGAATTCTTTTTCGTCTCCAACTGCTCGCCCAGCTTACTCCGAATCTTGTTTCTGCCTTCTCTTTCCAACTTATTCAAGTCCTCTCCTCCCCGCCAAACAAGTCCCCCGGATCCTTGCCCTTCCTTCCCAGGGCGAGACGAAAAAGAAAGGAGTGGCAACGTGGAAAGAAAGGGGGAGGGAAGGGGGGGGGAAAACGAATTTTGGAAACAAAAGCAAACGAACAAAAATTTCACGTCTGAAGTTTCCCCTAACACAAAACCTGCGGAAAAAATCCAAGCGGAGGCTGAGAAAGGCGCAGGTCTTTCCCTTTTTCGTTGGGATTTTTTGGCCCCCCCCCCCCCCTTAAAAGAAAGCTTACATTCTATGTCTTCCCGCTTGGGCGCAGAACTAGTTTAAAAAAAGAAAAGAAGAAAGAAACAGCAGGAAGCAAAGCCGCCCACTCCCCCAAAAAGTGAGGAGGGGGCTTCCCTCTCTTCTTTGCAAAAGAAGCCAGAGCGGTCTTAACCCTCCCCCCCCAATCCAGCTGACTCTCCCACCTGCCCGGAAAGGACCCCTCTGCCCCCTATTCCCGCCCAGGGCATCAGCCAGCCCCCCCCCCCCCCCGGAGACCCCCCGGGCCGGGGGAGGGGCCGCGCCGGGGGGGGCCCCCCCCCCCCGGCAGCTTCCCAGCCCCGGCCTGCCCCGTCACCGCCTCTACCTGGCCCTACCTGCGATGGACTGGCGCCGGTTCTCGTCCAGGTGCGCCGAGATCACGTCGCCCATGGCGGCCCTGCGGACGGAGGAGGAGGAGGTGGAGGAAGGACGAGGCTGTTTGGCTAAAGGAGGAGAGGAGAAGGGCCCCGCCGGGCGATGCGCTCCATGGGGCGGCCGGGTCGAGCTGGAGGGAGGGGAAAGAGAGCCACAGCTCGCTGACTCGCTCGCTCGCTCGCTTCTTCCTCCTCCTCCTCCGACACGCCTTTCTGCCCTGCGTTTTATTCCCTCTCCACGGGATTCCGTCCCTGTTTTTATTTTACTTTGTTTTAGTTTATTTTGCGCGGGGAGGGGAGGGGTCGGTGGTTTCTCTGTTGCAGGCTGGGAGAGGGAGAGTCGTTCTCTCTCTCTCACCCCCCCCCCCTCACTAAACCTCCAAACGAGGGGACGGTCCTTGGTTCTTACTGAGCAGGGGTGGTTTCCTTGCAGGCGTTTCTTGACCCAACTAGGTAACACCATCAGTGCTAAAAGGGAGGGGGCTTCGTGGAGGGGAAGGAGGAGGATTATGGGATCTTAGTTATTTTTCTGTAGGCGTTTCATGACCC